GCTGCAGACAATAGTTTGACCAATTATTTTCCCCCTAAATCTTATCAATCCTTCAAAACAAATATGAGAATATACTCCAGTACATCCATACATCATCATTCTATTTTGGGATATGTTATTTTACCTAACATTTTTCTGCCTACCTTTGCCTACCACTCTCCAATACCGTTAGATCAAAATCTCAAGAAGAGAGAAAAAGATAAATGTTAGTTAAGATTCTGATCTAACGGTGTTGGAGGGTGGTAGGTAGAGGTAGGCAAAAAAATGGTAAGTAGAATAACCTATCCCTTCTATTTTATAGTGGTGAATAAAAAAGTTAACACTACCTATACAGAAGTAAAACAAAATCACAGTGAAGGTCTCGTCTCTAGATATTAACTTATTTGAGAATGTCAGACCTACAATCAATCATCTCTTTTTATAAAAATAAAAAAGGAAACAAAGGATGAAGAGAACGTGGAAATGAGTACGTGACAAGGGAGGAAGAATAAGTTTTCTTTCTAATCAATGTGCGTTGTTGCGTTGTTTTAATCATCTTCGTACGTTGTTACGTTGCTAACTAATATAAGAATAAATATCCTTTTTGGTCCCTAAAAAAAATTTGGTCCTCACTTTAGTCCATTATAAAAAAAAAATTAGTCACCTGATCCCTATGGACCCACTTTGGTCTTTCTGTGGGACTAGTGTAGGTCTTTTTTGAATTTGTGATGGACCACGATTTTAATTAAATTGATCTACTTTAAATTTTTTAAGGACCTCGAGACTAATTTTTTTTTGTAAAGGACTAAATTGAGAATCATGTTTTTTGTTAGGGACTTAAAAAATTATTTACTCCTAATATATATATTGAATCAAGAGACAAATAACAATCTACAAAAAAAAAAAAAAAAAAATTAAAATCAAAAAGTTTATGACCGCACTTGCGGGCATTTGCCCGCAAGTGGGTCCGCCAATGTATATATATATATATATATATGGGATAGGATATTGTGACACCCAAGTTATGTTACACCCATGTGACACCCAGTCAATCTTACCGTTAGATCGCTTATGTTGATCCAACGGTTATATTTATTTCCATCTTTGTATGGTCATGATTTCTCAAAATTAATATTTTATATTATTTCTACCTTTGTATGGTTATGATTTCTCATATTTAATGCTTTCACTTTAAATTTGGGAAATCATGACCATACAAAGATGAAAATAAATATAACCGTTGGATCAACATAAGCGATCTAACGATGAGATTGACTGGGTGTCACATGGGTGTAACATTATTTGTGTGTCACAATATCCTATCCCTATATATATATGGAAAAGTATCTATGCTTTTGAAGGATGTAACACTACATCATTTTAAATAAAACGCAGCGTTTCGTTTGAAAAATCAGTTCATTTCTTTGTTCCAAATCTATTGTCCCTTTTCATCTCTCTGCAACCAAGCGGTATTCTTTTCCCTCACTCAAACTTGCTTTTCCCTCATTCTCTTTTCCATTCTCATAGTTGGTTTTTCTTCCCTTCATCACCAGCCATCTTATATGAAGGAATCCGATGCGAGAACCTATATAACTCATTAGGTGGAACACAAAATAAGCAAACTCCATTCTGCACATTTTGCAGAAAGAGACTAACAAACCCTTTCACTTTGCCAAGATAAGCAACTCTAATGCCAACATTTTCATCAAAATCAGATAGGACTTCCACATATTCAAATTGATACTCTGAATGATTTTCTGGATTAGAACTCCATTATTTCTATTTCATGACACTTGACAAACTTTTTTTTTTGTTTTTTGGACTTTGATTCATGTTATGCGTATATCTGATTGTGCTTACTTCCCAAAATTTTATTTTTTTTCTCTTCTTCTTTTTTCCCCATTTTTAGAGCTGTGAAAATACTTGATGGAGGATAAGTTGAGGTGTCTGAATTTTTACAGATTTGATTTTTGTCCCTCTATTTGAATTAGCATCATATATATACGTTTTTATATAGATTATAAGTCTCCATTATTAAAAACAGATTCCATGTCTCTTTGTTCTGAGAAATTGCACCTCAAATATAAAATTGATGGTCATTCTATATTGAACTTGATATCAGATTATTTTTGGTAGATTTGAAGTTATAGTGTGGTACGATGATAATGATTACAAGAGTCAATTTGATCTTCTCACAAAACGTGGACAATAGGTTTTGCTTCTCCTATCAACCATCCCTAATCCCCCTTTTCGCTTAAATGTGAAGAGTGTGTATCATTATTGAAGCATCACTCCTTTAAACCATTTCATTAGAATTACCAGAGTTATATACTATCAGCAAAAATACTATTTGCCCGAGTTTGATTACCTCCTTCATATTGCTTTGGTTTATTTTAGTACAATTATTGTCTTGGGGTCATTTTCTTTTGACTTATATACTATTGGTTCCTACATCGTGGCTCCATAATCGATTGAGTTCCAGCAACTATTGGTTCCTCAACAAAGGATATTTTTATGGTTGATAGGATCAATGTACTACTTTACAAAAAAATCCCCTGAAAAATCTTCTACAAAATGGGGATCACTATTAATTTATAGGATCAATGTATTAATTTATAGACAAAAGTGATCCTACAAAAAATATCCCATCCAAAAATCTTATACAAAATGGGGATCACTATTAATTTATAGGATCACTACTAATTTATAGACAAAACTACATTATAAAAACTATCCCATCCAAAAATCTTCTACAAAAAATGTCACCAACCTGACAAATAGTTATCTTTGTACCTGAAAAATCACAATAAGTAAAAATATAAGCAGCTTTGAACTCATAATTTGAAATTAGAATATCTAAAAATTGTTCGTAATAAATTGGTGCTTACCAAAATACAATAGCTAATATATGTGCAATAAAACTACTCCTTTTGCTTCTCTCTTGCAATATCCATCTACAAATGAATTAGAATAAACTCATTATCAAGTTTAAGATTGAAAACACATCTATAAAGAAATACCTTGCGCTTCTCACAACTGGTTTTATTGTGACCCTTTCCTCCACAATAACTACAAGTCTTATGTTGTTTTGAAATCAACTCAATGATTGATTTCAATCGTGCAGCAACCTTTGGACGTCCTTTAGTTTTGACTGGATGCATGGGATCACGCACGTAGTTAATGAGTGAAACTTGTGAAAGAATTTCGGGAGTTAGTGAAGGAACAATTTGGGGAATTGCTTCATCTTCAATTATATTTCTCTTTCTTTCCAGTTGCTGTCTAATAAAGTCAGCAAGAAAAACATCAAACTTTCTAATTTCAGACATACAATCTCTTGCTTCGGAAATAGCCATATTGCACTTGGAGTGAAGCGACCACAAGAACAATGCACTAACTTCCTTAGATGAAATATGAAAACTAAAAACAAACTCATGAAATAGTTGCAAACTTGAAAGCCATCAAAATATGTTAATACAGCAGCAAAGGGGAAACCATAGACACATATACAATTCTATTTCATTTGCCAAATTAAACATGGTGCGTTAATTTATTAATGAGAAGCTGAAAATAAAAAATAGAGAAAAACCATGCCAAAGCTTCAAAGTTTAATGCTATCAAAAAAAAAAAAAATAGGAGCTAAGGAAGACCCCCAAAAAAAAAAAAAAAATTAAATAGAGGGACAAAAATCAAACCTGTAAAAATTCAGACACCTCAACTTGCCTGACAACTCCTATATCCTCCATCAAGTATTTTCACAGCTCTAAAAATGGGGAAAAAAGAAGAAGAGAAAAAATAATAATTTGGGAAGTAAGCACAATCAGATATACACATAACATGAATCAAAGTCAAAAAAAAAAAGTCCGTCAAGTGTCATGAAATAGAAATAGGGTTTTTGATTTTACCTTTTCATCTATTGGTTGCATTGGTGGTATTTGCTAATCTTCTATTTTTGTGTTTCCTTTGCTTGATGTTTATCGCAGCATCTCTTTCAGCCTTCAAGATAAATCTGAATCGATGGTTTTATCAAAGTGTGTAGGTGAGAACGAAATCGAAGAAAAACCAACTATGAGAATGGAAAAGAGAATGAGGGAAAAACAAGTTTGAGTGAGGGGAAAGAATACCACTTGGTTGCAGAGAGATGAGAAGGGACAATACATTTGGAACAAAGAAATGAATTGATTTTTCAAACGAAACGCTGCGTTTTATTTAAAATGATGTAGTGTTACATCCTTCAAAAGCATAGATACTTTTCCCATATATATATATATATATATATATATATATATATATATATATATATATATATATGGGGTTTATATTTCTACAGCTGTTGTACATGTAACAATCAAATACTTGCCATAGATATACTTGAAAGCATTAAATGGATGTAATCATAATCATACAAAGGATGAAAGCATTAAATGTGAGGATTCATAACCATACACCTGTCGTTACTGTACGTAAAGCGGCTGCAGAAATGATTTTACCTATATATATATATATATATATATATATATATATATATATATATATATATATATATATATAGACACACACACACATATACACACACTACAAAAAAAATGCTGATTAGCCACATTTAAAAATGTGGCAAACATTGATTAAAAATGTGGCTAACATATTCTACCACATTTTGATTAAATGTGGCTATAAGAGGTGTTGCAATAATTTAGCCACATTATTTTATTCACTTTGCCACATTTTGACTGAGTGTGGTAGCCTTTTTTAGCCACATTTATTGTTAATTTAGCAACTTTACAAATGTGGTTAAACTGTTTTGTTTGCCACAGTAGATAAATGTGGCTAATTGTGCCTAAATTTTTTTTTAGCAATATTCATGACCATGGCTAATATATGAAATTCTTTTTTTAAAAATTAAAAATATTATGAATTCTATAAACATTACAATATTAAAAGAAAATAATGTCAAAAATAGCTCAAACACGATTTAGAAATGTGAACCAAACACCAAATATTATATTCTATTATCGCTGAAGAATTTGTACAAGCCATCATGTTTTCAATTTATATAAGCTAATCAAGCTTTCAAGCTTTCTACCAATGTCATATAGGTAAAAAATGGCCAAATAAAACTAATAAAAAATTTACTTATGGGACATCTATACAAAAAAAGTATCTTCTCAATTCTATAAAAAAATATGGTGGTACAAATTTTCCATATCATTCATTTAGGATTTGTTTTTGTATGCTATCCTAGTCCTTTGAAATTCCATCTACCATATCACACCTGCACAAATCAATTTCATATTATGTTAATATACTATTAATGAGCTATTATGAATCCAAAGAATCTGCAAGTTTAAGAATCTGCAATAATGACACAAGTAACAATAACTAGCATAATTGAAATAAGATGAAAATTGTAAGTGGTGTAGATTTGGCAAATTGAGTTTAGCTTCAGCGTATAAGAAAGAAAGAATATGAAAGAAAGCTACCTACCTACCTACCTAGCAAACATGGCAAAAATAGTAAGAAAAAAAGCTACCTACCTAGCTAGGAACAATCGAGTATGGCTTCAGCGTATAAGAAAGAATATGATTTGGCAAATTGGAGGACTAGCTCATAATTTATAGGCAACAAGACCGTCAATTATTATCAATACTGATATAGCAATGACATTTCCATGATTGAAAGCTTATGCTGAAGAGAAGACCACGCGGCTCATGGTGGTATCAGAGAAAATATCTCAAGTATCTAGCTTTATTAAATTTTATTTTTTCCTTCCATACATTTTGATTAGTCATGGTTTTGACAGTAAAAAAATTGTCTCTTTACTGGTTAGTAATGCATGTTCTAAAGCCTTTTAAGTCCGACAGACGGTTTATATATGACATGTCTATATCAGAAAATAGCTTTAAATCCAAACTACCCATATGCTTTGTATCTATTCTATTTTACTTCTATTTTCTTGCATAATTGAAATGAGATAAAAATTGTAAGTGGTGCCATGTACCTGTAACCTGGACTTCCTAAGTTATTCTACAAGTGCCTGTTCCTGCAATAATACAATGCGATTGAATGAGGTTAATGGTAGTGTATCCATACATTTAGCAAGTATTGCACTGAAGTAGTGATTGGATTTGGTAATTGAGACACATGGCAAAAATAAAAATAAAAACACTATTTACAATTAACATTGAGGATTAATATTGGATGTATGAAAGAATAAGGTAAATGCAGAGACTCTCTGAATTGGGTTTTATATCTTGTCTGCTTATGTCCTTTTGTGATGAGGCTTTCTATGATGTGGACTATGCATTCAAAAAATTCGTTATTGTGAGAATAATAAGTATTGGATGTATGTGGATTAATATTAGGTTTTTCAATCAATGAAGGTTTTATATTTTTTCCAAGTCTAATTTATCCAACCAGTACTTTAGAGATTTCAAATAATGAATTTAGTAACATGAATAAGCTGAATGAAACAGTAGAATCATTAACCAATGTGCATAAAAAAAAGTTGGATAAAATTACAATTGTCCGCTCACCTGGGCAATATTGTATCAAATCATTCGTACAAGAGAGTGATATATCTTCAGGTCTATAATCTTCAAGCTCCATTTCTTCTGATGTAGCCTTGCCAAACTTTAAGAAATGGTAGAAGCCGATAAGCCAATCTAGGGTTATGTAATGCCAGTGAATCCTAAGTCATCATTGATTAAAAAATATATATCATACTTATAAATTTAATTGGGAGCATTTTTTGTCTATAGGATGAATATCATATAGTTATATGATAAACAACAAAATTACCTTAGAATAGTCCATACCACCATAAATGTCCCCAACAAGCATGTCATGTTTCTATTATCTCCTTTCTGACTCAGTTCAAGTAACTCATCGAAGCTGGAATTCATTTCAACAAATCCTTTGACAATAGTTCAAATATAGCAGCATGTAAAGAAAAATAAAAATAAAAATAGAAAATGACCTCTAGCACTTTGTTAACAGCCTTCCTAAGCCCCAATAAGTACCACCGCCAACATTTGTCCCACTAGCTCTCTCAAATTTTCCATCTCCATCAACCTATGTTAACCCATATTAAAATTATAGATTACCATCCTCAATTAAAAACAAAAAACCAAAAAATCACTCCCTATTTAAAGAAGTTCATCCTCCACCAACAAAAAAATCTTAAAAGATATTCTTTAACTGAAGCAACTTTTTTCATATAGTAACAGAGTAATCACTACAAACACTACACCCAACTAACTACAGCATTAAGTCTACAAACAAACCTTCGTTTTAGCATCAAATACCAACAAAGAAAAAGAAATTGAAACAAAAAGAAACAAGGAAAAACACTTTAGAAAACAGCATTCTTGAAATTCATCTGTGCTGATTGATTTAGTAATTAATGACACCAGAAAACAAAAGATAAGCAACAACAAGCAATAATACTCTAGTATGCTCCTATTTTCTCCAGAGTTGCTCGGAGCTTTTGTGCACCCAAATGGTAGAAAATGGTTTATCCTTAGTCCAATTCCTTATCTTAAGAAGCACATAAATAATTATCCCACACAAAAAACCAAGACCTACACTTGACCCCACCAATGAAACTGTAGTGCAAATAAGCATCACAAAGGAATCTTCTTTGGTATTCATGTCCCTACAGCATACAGCTAATTCAATTCCAGCAAACAATAACAACACACCTAAGATCCCCACAAGAAACTGCATTAAAATGTGTGCCAAAGAAGTTCCCAATACCAATTTGGCAACACCAAGAAGTGCCACACAAGCACCACTTCTTCCACCAAATTTATACTGTCCTGCAAGTCCACCAGCCCCATGGCAACATGGCATGGCACCAAACCAACTACCAACCAGGTTCATCAACCCCACCGTCACTGACATTGAAGTTGCTGAGATATCCTTTCCTGGGAACAGATCCAATGACAATTTATATAAGAGAAAAGTTTCAAATCACCTCATTTAATGTTGATAGATATGGAAGAATGGTTGACGTTGTTGCAATTTATATAAGAGAAAAACAGAGCTTAAATTAACAAAGAAAATAAGCTTAAATTAAAAATGCAGGTCTTGATTTACCGAGTGGAGAACCGAATATCACGCGTCAGATTCGAAATCGAGGTATCATCAGGATCACGATTGAGAGATCGAATCAAACACCACCGCCAGATCAATAACCGTAGAGCTTGCCAAACACATGGAGAGCGGTGACAAAGCTGATGAAGCAGAGGCTCATCACGAGCACCACCGTCGGCGCGAGATCTTTAGGCCAGGAGCGTTGATAGTGTAGAATCGCAACATGTTGCTTCCGGCGCTTGATCCGCCTCTGACTCCACCAGAAATGTTTCCACCACCCTCGAGACGGCGATGGGGCATGCCGGTGGCGGCAGCAACGGTGCAGCGTTGACAGCGGTTGCGTGTTGCTGGTGGAAGTTGCAGACTGAGATCGAGAGAGGCCCCTCTCGCCGCTTTCATCACTGTTCTCCTCCCATTGGGATCAGATGTGGACGTTGAATTGCAATGGATTGGACAAACAAAAATAAAAGAATGGAAAAATGAGGGATTAGGTTTACAGATTAACAAAAATAAGAAGAAGAAAAAAACTTAGGGATTAGGTGCAATGAGATAAAAATAACACTCGTTGTTTTGCGACATTTTATTATTGCGTAGCATATTTAACGTTTTTTTAATATTAACTACATTTCTTCAAAATGTAGTTATTTTAATGTCCCTAAGTAGCGTATTTTTTGTAGTGACATATGACTTTACTTTTCTCCGGCCGCTTGACGTCCAACAAATAAATTCGAGAAATTATAATGTGAAAGCATTAAATGCAAGAAGCCATATCCAATCAACGATGTAAGATCTATTAATTGTTGGACGTCCAGCAGCCGAAGAAATGAGTTTAGTATATATATATATATATATATATATATATATATATTAAGTGATCTATAAACTATGAGTTAATCATTATAAATTCTCAATGAAGTTTGTGACATGTTTTACTCTTCAAATGGAATAGTCTTCCATCTATCCTTAAACTTGTTTATACAAAAAATTATTGCAGAAAAATAAGACTTTTTTTTTTTTTTAATTTGTCTCGAGTTGTTCTTAATACATGAAGTAAAGCACTTTGTCAATTTCAATTGACCACTGTTTATCCCACTTCAGCGCATTTTCTTTAATTTATATTTATACTGAGGAGTTCCACACTAAACTCCAGAGTCCAGATCGTAATTAGTTATTATTCATGCATGTGGTAAGCTATAGAAGCCTAGAACCATATCAGTTGCGAAAATTCAGGACATATATCTGTAGCGTTCTGAATTCTGATCTGAGCAAAATGAATTTTTTGGCCCAAGTGGAGCGCAAATCATATTTGTCTGAACCGCAGCTGGATTAATTAAGCATATCCCAATATTATTGCCACAAGTCACAACTAAAATAAAATAATCATTTATTAGAAAATTTCATTTTGATCTTTATTTTTTCATCCTCTCATTTCATAAAAACGAAAATTACAACATATTTTACAAACAAAAAAAAAAAAAAAAAAAACTTCAGCATGTTAAAGGTAATGTCCTACTGTTCACCCATGCGGTGAAGATGAACACCAATAACATCAAAACATACAACATTCTGAATCACTATATATTACAATCAGATCATGTAACAATGACCAAAATCCCAATCAACTCGTTCTTATTGTTGTATGGTCGTCTCTTATCCGTGTAGTTCTTCTGAGTTTCTTAGAAAACCAAAAGAAACATCCACTTGAAGATCTACTCGCCTTGGAATCAATGGGACTCGTCTTGGTTCTTCCCCCTTCTTTTTCTTCCTTCATTTTATCCTTATGCATCTTTCGCAATACATATGCTTCAGCAAGATCAACACCAGCTGGCATCTTTGTGACTGCACTCTGCAGCAAGACAATGTTGTGATGTTTTGGGAGGAGGTGATTAATATTTAATGGGGTTGATTTGATCTATACTTTTATAGGCATGTGTATATTCCATTGACTTGGCCAGCAAGTAAAGAGCTCAAAATAAAAATTATATGTGTATCTTGAGTTTGACTGTTTGTCCACTTTATGGATGCTCGGAAATATATGGGATCCTTTGACATAGGGATACTTTTGTTTGTTAGTTCATGTTAAATCTTGGTGACCAAGAAACTTTGTCAAAGAACATTATCTTTTGATTCTTTTAATGTCTCACAAGGCACGCGTGCCACCAGACGTGTAAATATATGTACAATGATTAGATTAATAATTTTCACATAATTCCATCGTTAGATGAAAATATTATAAAGATCACTTATCTATTAAAAAAAATTAAAATCCATAAAAAATTTATTAAAATGCATTTATTTAAAACCAATTAGTATATGAAATGAAAGATAATAATAATCCATCACACGCATTCCATACGTGTAAAAAGGATTATATAATATTCATTGTAGCTAATAAGTGGTTGGAATTCAAGTAGGCTAGCATTTTTTATATTTCGATTGGGTTAATTTTTTTTTTTTTTTTTTTATGATTTTGGCCTAGTCATGGCTTGACAAATAATTAAAAGTAAGTCTTTCTAATATTTAGATAAAATATATAAATTAAAATAATATGTATAGTTAAGTCATGAAATATTAGAAGTATGAAAAAAATTAAAGAATGTTTTATAATAATATTTTTAAATAAATTATGTCCATATAAAATATTATTGTCTTATGTATAAAGTATTATTTATTTTTTTTGGTAAAGATATAAAGTATTAATTTAATACCAAATGGTGATTGCTCAATTGGCGCATAGGATAAAGGTGGCAATATGACGCCATTAATCCGCAAAAAAATGAGGCGGGGCGGGATGACCCGCCTTTGAACTTGATTTCAAAAATTTAACCCACTCCGTTTTATGGTGGGTTGGTAGGTCAACCCGTCAATCCGACATTTAAAAATAAAAATAAAAAATAATTAAAATTCAAAAATAAATTAGATTTTACAAATTTTTAATATTACTTAATTTCATTGCACACTCCCCTTAATTTCTTTCAATGTCAATTTTAAATGTATATTAATTTCACTCAGACATTCTTTAGGAACTTATTTTTACCTTTATACATGGATAGCCTTTGTTATAAATAAATTTTTTTTAGGAGAGTACTAAGATAAAAAAATTGATATCACAAAAGTTTAATGACAAATAAGATACTACCTAATAGTAAAAAAAAAACTGGCGGGCCAACCCGTCCCGACCCACCGCTAACCCATTTTGACCCACAACCCAGCGAGTTGGTGAGTTGAGATGTGTAACCCAATCCGTTTCGTTTTGGCGGGTTGAGGAATTGACCCGTCGGATTCAACCCATATTGCTACCTCTAGCATGAGAGCCGAGTAGGTGGGGATGGGAGCATGTGTTCGATCATTCTCAGTATCATCTTTGGGAGGAGTTTAAAGCCTTAATCCTGGAACCTCCCTGTGAACACCCAATTTTGTCCCATACATTTAAAAATAACACAAAAAAGAAAGAAAAAAAGATAAAAAGATAAAAGATAAAAAAAGGAAGAAAAAAAATATGTCCTTCTGTAAGGAAAAAAGGAAGAGAGCAATAAAAAAATGGAAAAGGGAAGAAAGACCATTTCAGAAAAAAATAACAGCTTTGAGTAGAACTTGTTCCAGCCGCGTTATATCCTTCATCCACCGTCTGATTGAGCTGAAACATTTTTAGCAAGATCTTGACTCATCGTCCTTCATATTGACCGGTGGATTTCATGATTGGATGCCTATATCTTTCCCAGAAAATTCGAAACCGCAGTAGTTTTTATAGGCAAATTTCATTGCAGGCAGCATTTTTTGGAGGACCATTTCTCTCAAACAAACTGTCCGATTGTCCTCAAATTTGGTCAGCGTGTTCCCCGCATATGATACTTCAATCTGAACGGACCGATTCTTAAACTGAGCTTCCTAACATCAGATATGCATTTCGAAAGTTGGGCTGTTAAATTTGTTAGAAATGATGCAGTTTCGGGCAGCCGTATTGCAGGGTTCGTTTCTCCCGAGTGAACCGTCAGATCTTCCTCAAATTTTGTCGGCATGTTCCTCGCATATGGTACTTCAATATAGAAGGATGAAGGATATAACGCGGCTGGAACAAGTTCTACTCAAAGCTGTTATTTTTTTCTGAAATGGTCTTTCTTCCCTTTTCCATTTTTTTATTGCTCTCTTCCTTTTTTCCTTATAGAAGGACATATTTTTTTTCTTCCTTTTTTTTTATCTTTTATCTTTTATCTTTTTTTCTTTTTTTCTTTCTTTTTTGTGTTATTTTTAAATGTATGGGACAAAATTGGGTGTTCACAATTACCCCTCTTTATTTGTTTCTTACTAGGTCAAATAACAATTGGCATATTATTATTGTAAGAAACAAATAAAGACATGAATCCTAATTTTGTCCAAGAACAACAAAAAACATATATAGATGAAATGCAATCTAAAAATTAAATACAATGAGCCTCTGAGCTCGAAAATAGAAGACATGAAGCCGAGAGATTAAATGCTTGAATTCATCCCGGTATGAAAAAGGAAATATGAGACCAACTGGATAAGGACTGACAACTAGAAAAGAGAAGTTTTGTAACCAACTTGATATGGGTTGACAAATCGAGTGGAAAAGAAATATTTGAAACCAACTGGATATGGGATCTCAAATGGATAAGAAAATATTTGTAAACAACTGGATTTGGGTTGACAAACGGACTCAGCATAAAATCTATAACCAACTGGATATGGGTTGACAAGAGAAAAATAGAGAGATTTCTACAACCAACTGGATATGGGTTGACAAATGGACAGACAACTGAAGGTTTGTAACCAACTGGATACGGGTTCACAAACGAAGAAACTTTCTTCAACCAACTGGATATG